TATAAATTACATAAAAAAGGATTGCAATTGAAATTGGAAAGCAATTTGTTTTAAAATGAGAATTAAAATTGTCTTGTCATCGTATCGTGAAACACGAAGTTCAAAGTTTAAAATCATGCACAATTTCTTTATATACGAGTTAATAACCGATGGTGCGTTTCATTTCATGTTCATCTTCACGTAAAATAATGAGCAAAAAACGAAATTCGAACTTTATTAAGTAAGGACGAAGATAAGATGATCTTAAGACACCTTATTAGGTGTCCTAAAGTTAGGACGAAAAATACGATATATCCTAAGTTAAGAGAGCTTCGATAACACGACTTATGACAAAGAAGTGTCATAAGATGGTCTTAGGACACGTCATAATCCTAAGATAGCTTCGAGAACACCACCCCTAATATTTAATACTCATTCTCTGTAACCACTTAAACTTTTTCGGCACACATAGTCACCGATCTTTCTGAAAATTGGCTGATATGTAGATCCTATTAAATTAGTCAGAAAAATAATGTCAACCCATATATATATTGGTTGGTTACCATGGTAACAGCAGAGAAAGTTGGGATTTTTGAGAAAAATACAGTATTTGGTGTAGTGTTGTGAAATTATGCGGCTACATCTATTAAAAAGAAACACAAAAACAATTAATTTCATTCTTGTTTTAGTCAAAATTCAAAAAAAGTTATGGGGAATCTACCTAGAAACATGCGAAATTAATTTCTAAAAAATTATCATTGTGCAATTTTCCTCACAATATGAATTATCTCCCTTTGATGGGTTACACTAATGACTGGACCAAAACGAAAACGCTTATAACTTTTTTTATTTCTCAAAGGATTTATGTCAAATTTAAATTGTTATAAATTTAGACCATTCAATACATAAATATAAGGAAAAAAAAATGTAGAAAACTTTTTTAAATCTTCATTAAACGTGACCTGACCAACGCTGACAATGCAAGGACCAAATGAAAATGCTAATAACTTTTTTATTTCTTAAAGGGTTTATGTTAAATTTGAAATATAATAAAGTTTAATCATTTAATATATAAATTAATAAAAAAATAAAGAAAAAAATATAAAATATTCAGATAACGTGACCTTTCTAATGTTGACAATAACCTGACCAACAATAGCAATGACCTGACCGATGAAAATTTATGTGTTATTTTATATTATTAAAAAAAAAACAGGAAAAATATATGTTTTTGGTAAAAAAAACTTGACCTGACCAACGTTGACTATGTCCTGGGTGTTGTACTACCTAATACTTATTTATATCTTATGGGATTTTCTTTAAATTTATAAAAAAAAAAAATAGAATTAAGATTGAATGGTAAAAAACATGGAAAAACAGTTTAGGGTACTATGACGAGCACCGAATTATTTAAACTTTTTATGGTATTGAGTAGTTTACTGTATTTAACTATGTTGTAAATTATGTTGTATATTACCGGTTATAATTTGACACGTTTGATCACCAATATAAAGTAACTCAAAAGGTGTGTTTGAAGTAGGCCATACATACATGTAAGTTAATAAATCCAATATAGTTTGTTTTTTAATATTTTCTAACTGTAAATAGTTATTTCTACGTACTACTTAAGGCATGCGCGAGCCTTGTGCAGGATATCTTGGCAGTTTTTAATATTTTCATAAAAACAAATACACATTTCGCAGACTACTTGAGGTATGCCCGAGCCCCTGCATGCACGATATCTTTGTAGTTTAAAATATTTTCATAAGATATAAGTAAACATACTCGCGGACTAACTTGAGGGTTACCAGAGCCTTGTCTTAGTTTTAAATGTTCCCCAAAGTTTGTAAAGCATTTTATATTTTCTTATTTGATAAAATTAATGGTTCAATCTAAGTGTTTCTATAAATTTGATGTAAAGCCTATTACATTTAAATAGGTATAAAGTCATTTTTCCTGGTCATGATAACGGTCAGAATGTAGAACAGAAAGTCACAGACAAAAAGTCACAGACAAAAAGTCGCGGACAAAAAGTCACATGTATAATATGTTATAAACATAGACTTCTGCTTTAAAGTAAAATCTAATTTTTGTGTGCTTAAAGAAAGACAATTATATACTAATTTTGAGAAACATCTTTCGGTAATGGGCTTTCAGTGGAAATCAAAGTATATGTACATGCATATAATTCTTTTAAAGTTACCCTGTGTAAAGAGTTATTATATTGTCAATATTTTTTAATTTGCTGCTAAAAATCCATTAAGATTACTGTTACTTTCTCAAATTTCAATAATCTAATGCCTTTTACTAATGTAAATATAGTGCTACCAAAGGCGGATCCAGGGGGCCATGAGGGCCCGCCCCCTCCTTTCATTGGAAACATTTGGTTGATTACATATGGAATCACTGAAGCATGAATGTAGCGGGCATCTCTTAAGGCAGTCAGTGGTACCCCTGATATGACAATTGTCTAGATGGTATATTTTCCCCCTGCTGCTTGTTGTAAGACCAGCAGTCACCCGCTGACCGATTTTCCTTGGGTCCTCTTAGGAAAACGGAACTTTTTGGAAAATCTCGAAAATTCCTCCCCGGCCAGAATGTCAAACAAGAAATGTGTCGGATGAATAGCAGGGACCATCGGGTCTATATATAATAATATATAACTTTTATAAAAATGATCTTCATGTAGATACTCATCATCCAATAAAACAATATTATTCAAAACGTATAGCTACATGTATACATGCTTTGCCATTTCAACATTGAGTTTAAGAATGAATAAGAAAAATAAACAGCTCATAATAAAGGTATTTTTTCCTTTATAGAAAGGTTAGATGGTCAATTATCATTTATTTAGAGGATCAACGTCTGACTCTTTTGGTTCTATTTTTTATTGTGTTGAATTGTTTCAAATTATTGACTTTTATAATTTTTGGTCAGTAGACTAGCACAGGACCTACAATGTTCCTATTAAATTTATTGGTTTTGTTCTCTTCTGAAATATGCATGAGATGTTTGACACTGGACATAAAGCAAACCACAACTAATCGATCATTTCTTTTTTACAAAATTGTATACACTCTTTGCTATATGTATCGAAGATCATTAAACGAATTTGTAAAAAATTAACACTTATCAGTATTTTTGCAAAAGGACTGCTTGTTTCCATGGCAACACATTCAATGGCAAATATTGCATAATTGAATATATAATTTTTTAAATGATTTTATTTGTTTTTTCTAGATTTAGTCATTGTTTTTCTTGTACATTTTTCATGATCATGAAAACAGACTGAAATTTCTTCATAATCAGCACTTTTATCCAGATTAGAGAAATTGTATTTGTTTCATTCAAGTGTTAACACCATTATCGATATACTATACTAGCAAAATTATTTATATATACACATGTGTGTATACAGTGAAACTTAATAAGTGTTTTCGTTTTCCTACTTTTGTGCACATTTAAAAAACTAACTGAAACTTTTTCAAAATTGTTTTAAACTTGTGTATCATCATGAAATTGTTTCCATAGCAACACAGTTAAAACTATAATACCGTTATGTATGAATAAGTTTCAAATGTTGATGATTACAATCATTTCTACAAATTGTATATTTATTTATTTTTTTCTGACTGCAGAATTAGGTTTTAAAAAAAAAAATTTTCAAAAATTTTCAAATTTTTTTTTTCTGAAAAAATGAAAACTAAGCATTTTGTATCCATGGTAACAAAAAAATGAGACATACTTCCCCATTACTTTTTCGCATAATTGATAAGATAAGACTATGGTATTTATGAATTGATGGTTGACTTTAACTCAGGTGTCCGCAAAAAATTATGGTGAGTATTCAAAAATGACCTCAAAAGGGTATTTTTTACCTAATGCAAACCACATAAAAAGGGGGGTATATGTGATTATGAATGAAAATGAATATAAAAATAACAGTTATTCAATTACATTAATAAAATGCATATATTTGATAAAATCATAAAAAAATATTCTTTCTTTTAATCATTTATTATGAAAAATTATGTTGAAAATAGCCATTTTCAGCTTAAAATCATAGATATCCATAAGAGGTAAAACTGGTCATCGGTTGCTATGGCAACCGATATGCTTAGCAACCGAAATTTTGCCATTTTGTGTTTGTTTCATCAAGACTAGTAAGTGTGTGAAGTTTGAAGAAAATCCATGACCATGCGTGCCACACTCCCTATATAAAAGTTTAAATAGTTACAGAGAACCAGTATTAACGTGCTAGTTTACTCGGAAATATGTTACTCGACCTGGACACCTTAGGCTGACTCCAACCCGTCCAGTTTTTTCTCATACTCCTGAATGTCGCGGGCTAAGCCAAGAAGCAGCAAATACCAATTTACAAGTCTTGCTTTGACCGGGAGTTAAACACACGGCCTCCACACTGGAAGCGTGCACTTTACCACGAAACTAGCGAGATGCATTGTCGAGCTTTCATATTTAATGATAAAATTTTTTAAAATTTTACGAAGGAAAATAAGAAAAATAATCCAATCATCAATTAGATAATATTTTTTTATTATGATGTTGAATTTTTGAAGAAGAATGTTCAAAATAAAGCTTTACTACAACCCCTTCCAATTCCAAAATCTCATAAAGCTACAATCGTGTACACGTTTTTAGACACTCTATTCTGTTTGGACAGATTAAACAGACGGTGTATACTTGAACAAATATAATTGTAATGACGCCTTGTTTTTTTAAACACCTGGAATCTCCGTACATGTACTTGAATGCGTAAATACCAGTTCTATCATTGTCACGCATTTTACAGTCCTTGTCTCTATTATAATCATTCTTTGTGTTGCCTTCATTTGTAAAGATTTGTTTTATTGTTTAGAAAATAAAAATCGTAATATGTACCAAATATACTTATCGCTTGTACGGAATGCTCCGTGTTTCTTGATACGATCTGACGTCTTTTTATGGAGTCTCTTTTTCAAAGGTGTTACATGTATCTATCACAATATGACTTAACTTCCTTTTAAAATGTTTTAACATAGTTTTTATTTTATCACTGATGCAAATATACAACAATTCGTTCATTTTCATACATGTATCAATTGTACTGACATAATTTTATCAACTTTAAATTCTAATTTCAAAATTGGTCATCAATTGATTGTCAGAGATTAAAGGTTATTACAAGAGATTTTATCATAAATTTCAATATACAAATATTAAGGAGAATATTGCACTATTGCCAATCACTTCCGACCCATTGGTACTGCAGAAAAAGATGGACACGGTGTACTTTCTTCTGAGACTAAAACGGCTTCCTCCCAACAGTTTTCAACTGTTACTATTTTGCAATCACTTCGATGGTTCACAATCTTTTGACCAAACCTGAAAATGAAATTTACAGATAACTGCAGACATGAGTTGACATTGAAGATTACTGCACCAATGTAAAAGTCTGTAGTAGCATTTAACTTTATTATGTAATTTCAAAAATGCAAATAATTGTAGTTGATACCAGATATTTCGACACTTTTCATCATGTTCATATTAATAGAAAGGATATGGAGTAAATGTAGATGGGACAAAATCGGACACAATACATAGAAAATATAAAAAAATATCAATGAACAGGGCTTTTATTCCTGTTCTTCATCTTGACATTTGATGTAGGGTCTTCACCTTGACGAGAAATAATAATCCATGTTTAAAGCCCCTCTTCCAATTTACGATGTACACGTATGCTAATGAAGCAAATTATTTCAAATTAAAACCAGCAATAGTTTCATTTTGTTTAGAAAAATAGACTGGAAAAATCAGCATCATAAACTTATTAGCAGATTTTATAACAGAACGACTAGTATGTTCTGTACACTCAGGCTATTTCAGCAGCATTATATAGTTCGCTGCGGACCGAATTTTAAAAGGTGCATTTTGCTGCACATTTTTAAAAACAGAAAAAGCATTAGACCGATGTTATCAAATACTGTAATTTAGAGTTGTAACATCATATACGAATACAAATTAATAGCAAAAGATGTGTAAGGAGCCTTTGAAAAAAAAAAACACGTTTAATAATGGCTAGTATGTATAAAATATATGAGCACTTACCCATAACAAGAAATCCCTCCTTTATAACATTGACAGGTTTCACAATCCTCAGTACGATCAAACTGGTCCCCATCCTTGACGACTGCGCCATTGTAAACACAGTCTATAAAAAAATGAATTATACGTATTTATAAATAGTGGATGAAGATAAGGTACCAAGAGGCACTCAACACTCGCAGTCGTAGAAAAACTGATAAAGACGTAAAACCATAGAAAGTATACAGAAAAACGGTCAACAATACACTACACAAAAAACCCTAGACTAATAGAGATTGCGAGCAACTAGATCCCATCCTAACACGGAGAGGAACTCATGTACTCTGGAAGGGTAACCCGTTCCTGCTTCACTCGAAACTCTTATAGTTAATCATGGCTAGTAAAATTTAGATTTTAGATAACATTGTCACACACTTTACAGTTATAGACTGAAAGTAGATAAGCTTTACATTACCAGATGGAACGGCTGAAAATGTACAATTTACAATGGTACCGTTTCAAATGCATCTTTTATAAATAAATCTTATTATTCCATGAAAAAGTCAATAAATTTCGGAGTTTTGAATTGGAATTTATTTGAATCGTCGGTAATACCACCATTTGACAAATAAGGAGAAAAGTAACAATGGGTATACTATAGAATAAACTGTTGACACATATATCTGTTTCGCCTGCATGCAATTTTGATATAGTAAAATGCAGATTTTGAAATTTAAATGTAGTTATAAAGCAACTATTTAGTAAACTATGCAAAACATTCAAAGTATTACGGTAACCGTAAGTGGTTCCCCTTAAACTGACATAATCTTAATCTTTAAAAAATTAATGACGACTCAACCGCCGCTAGAAACATCACAACTATATCTTGCTTGGCCCTGCGGCTTCGTCAAGACAATTCATGCATTCCGTTATTATTCTCTTTATAAAGTTAAACAGTCAAAACAAACCCCTGCACAGTCCAGCTACCAAATGGATGATGACTAACATAAAGCAAGAAATACAATACGGAGCGTGATTTTAAAAGCAGGGTCAAAATGTTTTCGCTACTTCCGGCAGCTATATCGAAGGTAGTCACAGCTATTAGTTGAATAGTTCTGTTAAAAATACCCCTTTCAGATTTCATGGAGTATTCTATTACAATTTAATATAAATCGACGTAAAAATTATGGGTAGAGTGAGAAATACCGTCTTATATTTGTCATCTCGGACCTTTTTTCTTACTTACTCTTCGGAATGAGTTTTGCTAATTTTGTGAAGGCCGTACGGTGACACGTACTTGTTCACATCTTTTGTCCTTTCATCTTTGGTGGACAGCTCTCTCTTATTTTTATATATTTTCAATAGTATTTTTTACATGAAACATTATGTTTACAGATAAAGCCGATAACAATTGTGAAATTTCAAAAGTACATGTATTTAAAAGTATATAACCTTGTCACAGTAACTTTTGTACGCTCATTAAAACCAGATATGTTGTCACTGAGAGTATGAAGTTTCCTTGACATAGGATGTAGCTAAATAGACATCATCATCGAAGAAAAAGTAGTTTGACAAGAGGACATCGTTAATTATGTGGGAAAGCAGTGTATAAAGCAGAAAAAATCATAACTATATGACCAGTATAAATGAATTTTCGTAATTTTTTTATAATTCAAAAATAATTGACACATGTGTTGGAATAGACTTGTTTGCAATATTGGATAATACTGTTATTGTCTACAGAGGAAAAGTCATGCAATTTATCTTACTCCTATACATTTCTTGGAATATGATTGGTTAAAAGCAACCGCGTGGAGACCGTATATATTCCATATTTGGTTAGTAGACGGGGCTTATTTCAATACACGGTTAGTATTGGTGTTACGTCCCTTTATAAAAACAACACTGAAAAATCTTAAAGGTTTCAACAGACGAAGAAATTGATGATAAGCGATTGAAATGAATTCATAAAACACATTTTTAAAAACTAACAAGTTGTTATTGTTGGCCTTTGTATAGACCAATGGAAGTAGGTGTCTTGATACTAACGATATTGAAGAATTGATCACTTTGATAGGCCACTAGTCTAAATACCACATGTTAAGATAGTCGGTAAGGTAAATTCGTTACATAGTGTGCTAGTAACCTAATACGATATATATGGGGTCAGTAAATTGAAAATGGGGATTCGAGCTTCGCTCTCACCCCATATGGAATTTACTGACCCCATACATATCGTATTAGGTCACTAGCACACTATGTAACTAATATTGCCTGACACGACTACTTGAATTTATAATGATCAATTTAAAAACGCATACAAATGTAAGACACTTTACCTGTCTGTGGAATATAATGGGTCGCACATTGGACGTATGCTACCAAGACGACAAGCACCACAAAAATAGTAACAGTCATGTTGGTCTATAGGAGTATTCTGTACTGTACTGTATGTGTATGGTTTTACTGACGAGGTACGTGCATGAAGTGTGAATTGAATGAAGCATATTCTTGTATTTATAATTTTTATGTAGATTATTATCGATGAAAGTTGAAATTGCATGTAATAATTTAGGCACGAAACCTGTGTTTAACATTTAGTTGTATCTTTGTGATATAATTGGTTAAATATTTTAGCCTTTCTACTATCACAAATTTGACATTTAAATAAATATCAAATGACCACAATCGTTAAGAAATTTTTGTATCATTAATTATAGAACGCATGATTTTATCTAATTATGAATTTTCCAAGGCGTCCCTTATCTTCCTTCATTAGTCGTTTGTTGATTGCGTTTAAAGTGACTCGGCGGTTATAAGTCTTAAAATCGACAAACACAGAAGTAGTGTAGTGCAACTTCCTTTTCGGTAACATGTAGACGAATTATACAGCCATGAGATTTTTGTTTAAAGATATTCACGTTCTTTCTGTTGTTAATTAGAAACCAAGGATATATTAGTATTTAAAAAATGTAAGGATCAATATGCAATTGAGGGTGTGGATGGGGTTTACAGATTTGATAATAATGGTCGAAAAATATAAAGAATAGAGAAAAATGGACCCAAAAAATAAAGAATAGGGAATAAAGATGTGCAAAAATATAAAGAATAGAGAATAATGGGCAAAAAGTATAAAGAATAGAGAAAAATGTCCTAAAAGAATAAAAAATACAGAAAAGAAGGACCCCATCCAGAATCTTATTGATGAAAAGGGATATATCAGTCTAAGGTCAACTTGAGTTGTTGAAACCTAAGTTTCGTAAAAAAAAATAAAAATTTGATTAACGAAGAATTTAAAAAAGGGCGTTATAAATCATATTATAAATCATGCAACATACGCAAGTTGAATGGTGTCCATAAAAATGTACTTAATTAACGGAGAGAAGCATATTTTACAATTAAATACTGTATATTTTAAATGACGAAGTCGAGATCGACTTTAACAAGGGAAAAGCCTTAAAAGTCATATAATTTGCCTTAATTTGCAATCAGTTCTTCAAAATCGTCGAAAAAGATCACATGAGCTTATGGCAAGTAAAAATAAAACCACCTTCGCATTTTCGTGTTATTTACAGCTCTGAATAGTGTTTACATTTTTATTAATATTTTGGGACACAAGGGTTCCCAGCAACCCTGTACAAGACAGCATGTTAACTAATATGTAAACGGTCAATTCCTCGATGGTAATAATCAGATATTGGTCGTAGTTCATTCTTCCTATTTATATTGGCATATGCAATTTATAGCATTTCTGTTTCATCAAACGATTTGAAAAGTCAGAAATTGTCATATTCTTTAGTATATTTAACCACAATTGCACACAATCAATAATATTGGTAGGAATTCAAAACATTTCATGATATTATTTAACATCAGCTTTTTATGACAACAATGCCTTAAAATGGACTAAGGATTCAAATAGTCGTGTTGGGTAGATTGTACGTTTCTTGAACAATAGATAAAGGTCTAAAATGAACATTTAAAGATATGGAAATATATGTAAATATGGGGAAAATCTCTTTACAGCTCCATTACGCAGCAAAAGTTATCAATAGTACAAGATTTACAAAATTGCTAGTAAGACCGAAACTATTGGATGATTCCGTACCGAGTTATTGACCACTAAGTAAGGACTTGTATGCCCCACCTAGGGGTATTATGTTTTTTCGGTCTGTGCGTCTGTTCGTTCGTTCGTCCGTCTGTCCGTTTGTCCTTCTGTCCCTCTTCAGGTTAAAGTTTTTGGTCAAGGTAGTTTTTGATGAAGTTGAAGTCCAATCAACTTGAAACTTAGTACACATGTTCCCTATGATATGATCATTTAAATGCCAAATAAGAGTTTTGACTCCAATTTCACGGTCTACAGAACATAGAAAATGATAGTGCGCGTGGGGCATCCGTGTACTATGGACTCATTCTTGTTGAATCCTGCTTTTCCCAATTATTTCAAAATGTACGATAAGAAAAGTAGAAACAGTAAAAATGAAAAAAATGATCAGCATTATAAAATCTAAATAAATGTTAATATGAACAAAACAAGTGGATTACCCATTAAGGAGTTCTTGTCACTAAATGGCAAAATTACGATTTTGAAAAATGTTCATATTTTTGCAAGTTATCTCGGAAAGAATGATAGATAGGTAGAAACTGTAAAACAGCATTATAGAAGTTCTACAAAAATGCCAAATAACCAAACCAATGGATGACACAGCAAAAATGATCAGCAATACAAGATAAAAAAAACAAACTATATTTTAGTCTATAACTTTAAATCTTTGAGAGTGGCCATTGTTGAAGATGGACATATATCATTAGAGCGTCTAGTTTTTTTTCACTGATGATAGTATTAACAATCGTCCAATAATCCCTCTCTCACAATGGTATTTAATTAAAATGATATTGACTTGAATAAGCAAGATATAGACACTTTCATTCTTCAACATCTATTCAAAAATTACAATAAAAGCTCACCAAAGATAAATTTTTATCTCCATTGTATCTACATCAAATTTTGTATCAGTTTTCAATCCATCGAGTCAAGTGACACTTCAGTAAAATTGATATCACATATTATAAATATAAAATGCAGCCTAAAATATACAAGTACAAAACAGTAGTTTGTATTTACAATAGAATTACTTACACTACAGGCGCATATTTAGTGCCGTACGTAAAAAATATATTGCTACATGTACATTTGTACTATATGTGATGAATATACGGTTAAGACAAATATTTATTAACATGACTACCACATCATAAATAAATGACCAAACAGATTACTTTATGATTATTGTATGATTTCAATTACTAGTATACCTTATTAACTTAGTATGAAGTATTTACCATTGCATAATATATATTTTAATTCTAATTTTTATCGTCAAAATATACTACAACTATAGCATAAAAAAAAAATCAACATAGTTACACTATTCAAGTAAATATTTCAAGAATCCCCTGCCCTCAGTTCTCTTGGGTGTTTTAAAAAGGCACCGAGCTTATTTACCGGAATATATGATCTCAGGTTGAGGAAAGATGTCATTTCAAATATATCAGTTAAACCATAAATTATATATGTTCATTTATCAAAAAAATCAAAATAAACTTTTCTAATAAGACTTAATTTCACAATGTAAACAAAAACGCAATTCATCTTTAGTTTTTTGTTGTTGCTTTTTCTGCATAATTTATTAATGTTCTCTTGATATATTAAGATATCTGAAATTTTCTATTAATAAATTGTTTTCACGTATTTGTAATTATGTTATCAGCTTTCTAAATTCAAATTTGGAGCTAGCCAGATACTTTTCTTTTGAATCTTCTATATCAGTAATTTCATTATTTAAAATGATAATATTTCATATTTCCATTTTAATTTTATTTGTTCCATTATAGTTTTAGATATTTTCTGTGAAGAATAATGTTTTAATGTTTCCAAACTCAGACCAGATTCCTCTACAACATTATTTGCATATGAAACTGTAAATGGATAAAGAGTCAAGGTTTTGAGAGTAATATCTTGAAAATATAATCTAATTAGATATTCAATAAAAATTATATTGATATTTAATATAAATTTCAAGAGTATTTCCTGAATTAATTGCGTTTTCGGGGTTCTTAATTATGTAATATAAGTTTCCATAAAAGTAATTTCTGATAGAGCAATTGCAATAATTATACAAATGAAACAGAGCATGCGCATATAAATAGTAATAGTGACAATTATACAGGTCGTAACCCAATAGAAATCTGACGTCAAAATACATTTGCATAGTAATTTCTCATTTACAAAATGTAAAAAATGCCCCCAAAAATTGACCCTATTCACGCGGCGCTATTTCGTGAAGGTAAGTTTTTATTGGTAGAGGAAGCCGGAGTACCAGGAGAGAATCACCGATCTTCGGTAGGAAAACTGACAATCCTAATCAATAAAGATTGGTTTCGTTCGCACCTGCCACGTGCCGGATTTGAAATCACAACCTCGGTGTTGACTGGCTAGTGTTCGACTACTTAGACCACTCGGCCAACGAGGCCCCCTACACAAGTTCGACCCCGTATTACTAGTATATTGAATTTAAATAAGTCATTATTGGGAAATGAGGCAGAACAGCGTAGCTGAGTCAAAATTACATTCAACTTCCGAGGACAATACTAAAAATGAGGGGGGGGAGGAGGGTTGTCGATTAAACGTTTTCATAACGTAGTGGATAAACAGTTGCACTTTGTATAGATGAGGAAATTAAGATACACACACATGTGCGGCAAGACCATTGCAAATCATATGAAATAATTGGGGTTTTGTTTCTTCTTCTATGAAAAGTTTCTTCGCATGCAGCTAGTCTCTAAATATAGATTTTCAGTAATGACAAATCAAGATACATGTAGTAAAATCTGTAACAACTATCGCAGTTTCTAGTTGAAGTTTTATAAATTTTTAGAATAGCAAAACACCTCAATTTTCCGACACTTGATAATATTCAAAAGAAGGACGAATATAGAACAGACACATTTTTTATAATCTATATTTTTTTTATATTCTCAAGACTCCTAAATGTTTGGTTTTATTTTGAGCAATATGTTCTACGTGCGCGTTCCAATTTGCGCTATGACAGAGATATGCACCCATTTTTTTGGTTTGGTTTGGTGTGGTGTGTTAGATATTGATCTTTATTAAAATATTAAATTATTTTGGATATCGGTATTTGAGCAAATCATTATATTCATTTTTCTCTCGGTAAAAGAACATGATCAACTTTTTAGATCAAACCCTTTTACTCATGATAAAATTACCAATCATAAGTGTTCAATGCTGGAGGTGGATAAACCCAGCGATGTACCACCAGCAAACAGTCTATTCAGTTAAATTAGTTTTTCACCAATATCATTTATATGAAGAAGGAATAAAAGGGGATTAATATCATTCATGGATCGGTACCAATTCAATCTGAAGAAAAAGGAGAGCAGTTGCGGATCCAGGGGGGGGGGGGGGGGGGGGGGGGGGTTCCGGGGG